GGTTCAGGGTTTAGGGCTTTTAGGGTGTAGGGTTTAGGGGTTTAGAGGTTTCGGGGCAGCTTCCGACTTCGTTCCTCAGCAAGATCGCCGCGCCCGGGCGGTTTGTCACCGGCGACGTCGAGGCCATGACACCAGAAGAGCTTTCGGCATGCATGAAGGCCTGCTCTGACGGCTGCCTGCTTTCGACTGGTTTCCGTGCCCTAAACCCTAAACCCTAAACCCTAAACCCTAAACCCTAAACCCTAAACCCTAAACCCTAAACCCTAAACCCCACGAGGGAGATCTGCAGTTGTGTGCTGCCTCCACTTTCCTGCGCGACATCATCGAAGCGTCGACGCAACCGGAACCCGAAGCCATCCTTTTCGTGGTTCGCGTGAAAACTGATGCTGATCCTGAGCTGTCCATTGTGTCTTGTGATTGTGTTCTGTCGAAGTAGTTAACTAGACCCTTGCCCTCAACGCCACGGAAAGTGCTCATAACTGTACTCCGTTCAGGGCGCTTAGTAAGTAGGCTAAGCTAAACCCGAGGCCAAAACCCGGACCAGGAACCTGACTTGGGACAACCTAACCCGCTAAAACCCTGAAGCCCTAAACCGTAAAACCCTAAAACCCTAAACCCGGAATCCCAAAGCCCTAAAGCCCTGAAGCCCTAAACCCGAAATCCTAAAGCCCTGTGAACCCTAAACCCTAAACCCTAAACCCCAAAGCCCTAAAGCCCTAAAGCCCTAAACCCGAAATCCTCAAGCCCTGTAAACCCTGAAGCCCTAAAGCCCTAAAGCCCTGAAGCCCTAAACCCTAAACCCTACCCGGCACAACATCCTACGCCCTCAAGCCCCGAGCCCGAACTCCATCGACCATGGGCCCTAAACCCTGGGCCCTACTCTTAGAGGTTCATGGGACTTAGTAAGTTAAAGGCTTCCTTAAGCGGCTCCTTCAGAGTTCTTTCCGGGATCTATAGGGGTGAGTGTCAAGGGTTTAGTTAGGGCCTTAAGGGGTTAAGGGTCACTTGGAGGTTCGTGGGACTTTGTAAGTCACGGTAAAAGTACCTTATTAGATGGCCTTAGAAGCAAGAAACAGTATTGTTACCCTACTTATAATCTTAAATATTGAGTCCCATGGTCCTTTAAGTAGATGGAGGTATCAGAGAACGAGGGCCCCCTGTTCAGGGTCCTGCGAGCAAGACTGGGTTCTCTGTAAATTTTTGGGACACCCATACCCCCAAGTGAAGCCCCAAATCCGAAGCCCAAAAAACCCAACACCCTAAACCCAAAGCCCAATGCGGCTATCACTGCCTGCCCCTCAGACGGACACATGCAGCTTGGAAAGAGGTCTTCAACAACAACGTAAGCCCAAAGTGCCAAACCCCAAGCTGTGAAACCCCAACAACCTAAACCCCATGCTGCCTGCTGCCCAGTGTCAACTTTGTCTACGAGCTCTGACAGCTCTGGGGCCTTTCTCAAAAATCCGACACCGCTGAACCACAAACACGTCCTAAACCGGGTTTCGGGTTTAGGGTGCTTAGGGTTTAGGGTTTAGGGGCCCTAAACGCTAAACCTTAAACCATCCCAAGCCTCGAAGTCCTCAACCTCCAAAAACCTTAAAACATCCGAAACCTCAATAAAGCCTAAACCACTAAACCTTAGAACATTCTAAACCGCTAAACCGTAAGAACCCTAAACACCAAACCCAGAGCCTACACCCCCAAAGTTGATATAGGGGCCTTAAGAGTTAGAATAGGGTTTGGGGGTATTTATACTGGTATTTCCATAAGGAAGCCCCAAAACCCCATTCTAATTATCCCTAAACCCTAAACCCTAAACCCTAAACCGCCTAAACCGCCTAAACCCTAAATCCTAAACCCTAAACCCTAAACCGCCTAAGCCCTAAACCGACTCCAGAACTAATGGCCCCCTGTGCTTCATGGGTCCAGGTCTGTCGGATCACTTCTGGCCACAGCCAGCAGGACCCAAGTGCAACAGGGTTTAGGGGTTTAGGGGTTTAGGGGTTTAGGGGTTTAGGGTTTGGGGTTTAGGGGTTTGGGGTTTAGGGTTTAGGGTTTAGAGTTCAGGGTGAAGGGTTTAGGGTTTAGGGTTTAGGGTTTAGAGTTCAGGGTGAAGGGTGAAGGGTTTAGGGGTTAAAGTGTGGGGCTTACGTCCTAAGGTTACGGCATTTATGGTGTAGGGCCCGATGTTTTTGTTGGGTTGGTTGTGACTTGTTCGCTAGATACCGCCACCTTCAATCCCAGTGCCATATCCAGACCCGCAAGTACCGTCTAGTATCGCCTATATGTCTTAGGAAGCGTGTTTTGCGTTCGATGTCAACATTACCAGAAATTTCAGTTCTTTTTGCGGCCCACTGGTAGGGGGTGGCAATACTCAATGCCCATTGCTAAGGACCCGAACCTCTCTTGAACTCCGAATCCGTTTTCCTACCCTTAACCCTGAAGCCTAACCCCTAAACCTTAAACCCTAAACCCTCATCCCCATACCCTAAACCCCTAACCCTTAAACCCCTAAACCCTAAAACCCTAAAACCTAAAACCCTAAAACCCTAAACCCTAAACCCAAACCCCTAAACCCTAAAACCCCAAGCAGAACTCCGAGCCAGAGCCCTGAACGGAATCAACGGGATCCAGAAAGTAGAGCCCTTGCTTTAGGGTTTAGGGTTTAGGGTTTAGGGTTTAGGGTTTAGGGTTTAGGGTTAAGAAAAGCACGATCTTATTCCATGTAGGGATTAGTGTTTAGGGTTTAGGAGTGCAGGGTTTAGGGGTAGCTACTGTCATTGTTAATATTCGATGTTATGATTAGTGGTTGTGGGAGGGGGGGTACTTTTTGGAGGTTCTTCGACCCTAAACCCTAAACCCTAAACCCTAAGCCCCAAACCCTAAACCCTAAAGGGCCCTGAGCCACAATCCTCATTCCAGCGACCGAGAACCGACTCTTGACTTCCTGGGAAAAGGAACTTTCAATCGCCCTAAACCAGAAACTGATTGGGGTGTAACGGTTTAGGGTTTAGGGTTTAAGGTTTAGGGTTTAGGGTTTTAGGGGTTTAGGGTTTAGGGTGTAGGGTTTAGGGTTTAGGGTTGCAAACGCCAAAACTTGTTACACCTCAAGCTCTACACGTAAACACTAGACCCTCTGTGCCAGGAAACAGCTGGAGGAAGAGGAGGGGCTGCTCACTCAGAAGACAGGGACGGCTTGTGGGTTCATGCTGCTGGGTTGAGGGTCGAGGGTTTAGGGTTTGGGGCTTAGGGTTTAGGGTTTGAGTTTAGGATTTAAGGTGATGTGTGAGCCGCCATGAGTATTTCCTGTGTGCTACCTCGAGGACGGGTGTTGTGCAGGCAAGTTTAATAAACATAGACTAAGATCAGAAACCCATCCCCGCTAAACCTGAAACCCTAAACCCTAAAACGATGGTGTAGGAAGCTGACCTCAGAACATCTGGTCCTTAGTATGAACTCCTTTTTCTTTAGGTGCCCCAGCTTTCCTGATACCTCTAAACCCTCTAAACCCTCCACACCCCAAAACCCCTAAACCCCTAAACCCTAAACCCTAAACCCTAAACCCTAAACCCTAAACCCCGAAACCCCTACACCCCTACCCCCGAAACCCCTAAACCCCTAAACCCCTAAACCCCTAAGCCTTACAAACCCCTCAAGCCCTGCTTGGTTTACCCACTCAGGTCTGATGGCTCGGAAGAAAAGCCGGGTTCCGGGCAGGGTTTGGGGTTCTTTGGGGTTTAGGGTTCAAGAAACCCTGAACCCTAAACCCTAAACGTTTAGGGTTTGGGGTTCTTTTCGGGTTTAGGGTTTAGGGTGTAGGGTTTTAGGGTTGAAGATCTTGACAGGTTCTACAAGGACCCTGAGGGCAGCTTAAGAATTCTATTCTAGGGGCGTTTTTGTTCAGGATTCTGTCCATGGGGCCGTTCTTGAATTCAGTTTCAAGGTTCTTTAAGGCAAATATTGATGTTAAGATTCTGTCATTCTGTCCAAAGGTGTTTTAAGGATTGGGGTTCCAGTGCTCCGGGTGTAAGATTAAGGCTTTTTGGGGCTCAAGAGTTTCGGGTTTAGGTTTTATATAGGTTTTAGGGTTTACCCGAGGGATCAACCCAATTTTAGGCACGTAATGTTGTGGGTGGTGATCCAGTTGAAAGTTTCGCTCCCTGAAAGAACCCTTGTGACAGAATCGTAAAAAACCAGTATAGAGTCATTACGGATCCCATGCAGAACTACTCTAGAATCCCTATCGAAACATTTGTTGTTTCTTTTTTTGACTGTTGGGTGGTGCAAAAATGCGGGCCTGCATAATTGCTGATTCTGTTCCTTCGGGTGCCTTGTTTTCGTTATACGGCAATAAACCCTAAACCCTAAAACCCAAAACCTAAACCCTAAACCCTGAACCCTAAACCTCAATGATAAAGGCGAGTAGACTGTTCTGCAGGCTTCAGTTCGGTAGTTCGGGCTTCAGATCCCACGAAACAGCTCGGCCGCAGGCGTTTTCCATTCAAGAGCCTTGCTCTCTGTCCGGCACCGCTCTAGGCCATGGCTCCTAGTAGAGTCTCTTCATAGATCCCTGTTTAGGGTTTAGGGTTTAGGGTTTAGGGTGTAGATCTTTTCGGGCTTTAGGCCGGAGCATCTCGTCGCCATGCGCCTCTTCCTGATTGTGGCTTCCTACTTGCTGCATGCTTGCCAAGCGGACGCGAACAACCTGGCTACCGTGCTAAATGATCCGAAACCCCAATCCCTAGACTGCAATATCGGGGCCTCAAGATTAGAATAGGGTTTGGGGTCCTTCATAGTATAAGTACAATAAGGAGCCCCCAAAACAGTATTGGTAATTGTTTAGGCCCCTACATTCACCCCGCCCCCCCCTTTATGGCTTAGGGTTTAGGGTTTAGGGGTTTAGGGTTTTGGGGTTTAGGGGTTTGAGGTTTAGCGTTTTAGGGGTTTAGGGTTTTGGGGTTTAGGGGTTTAGGGTTTAGGGTTTACCCCCCTGGAAGCCCGGACGGCAGCGATTTGGGGCTTCTGAGGCTTCGGGGTGCCTTGGCCTCCGAACCCTAAGTTGAGTTGACCTGAAATGTCCCGAAACCCCGTGGCCCAACGCCTAGGCTAGGGTTTAGAGTTTAGGGTTTAGGGTTTAGGTTTAGGGTTTAGGGTTTAGGGTTTAGGGTTTAGGGTTTAGGGTTTAGGGTTTAGGCCTAAACCGCCCCAAAGCCCAGGTGATGATGTACAAGGCCAGTGAGAAGGAATGTGGCCAAGCATTGCTGAAGGAGTTTTGGCCGCTTATGAACCCTAAACCCTGAACCCTAAACCCTGAACCCTAAACCCTAAACCCTAAACCCTAAGCCCTAAACCCTAAACCCTAAACCCAGCCTCTACAAGGGTTGCTTTACTGTCAGTTGGTGTGCGGCTCTTGTTTTATGGGGCGGACTTGCATGCTTGCCTCCTTAAAGGCAGTGGAGGTAAGGTAGAGTGCTGCTTCATGAAAGAGAGCGCAAGCAATTCCAACTCTCTGGTAGTTCATGCTAAACCCCGAATCACTGAACTCCGAACCCTGAACTCCGAATACTAACCCTAAGCCCCAAAACCCTACACCGTGAACCCTAAGTCACAAACCCTGAAAAACCCGAGACCTCGTGGTAGAGTAGGTAGCCTCTAATCTTTGGGGTGCTGCAGCCCTGTTTATCTAATACACTCCCAAATGTTAGCCTTTCTCAACCCTCTACCTAAACCACCCCAAACCCCAAAACCCCAAACTAAAACCCTAAGCCCTAAACCCTAAACCCAAAACCCGAAACCCTAAATCCTAAACCCTAAACCCCAAACCCTAAACCCTAAACCTTAATTCCTAAACCCGAAACCCAAAACCCTAAGCCCTAAACCCTAAACCTTAATTCCTAAACCCTAAACCCTAAACCTTAATTCCTAAACCCTAAACCCCAAACCTTAATTCCTAAACCCTAAACCTTAATTCCTAAACCCTAAACCCAAAACCCTAAGCCCTAAACCCTAAACCTTAATTCCTAAACCCTAAACCCTAAACCTTAATTCCTAAACCCTAAACCCCAAACCTTAATTCCTAAACCCTGAACCTCAATTCCTAAACCCTAAACTCTAAGCCCAACACCCAAAGCCCTAAACCGGGCACGGTGGTGCCATCCTTGGGTGCTGAGCCGACTCTTAGGGTTCAGGATTTGAGGCTTTTGGGGGCAACTTAAAGGCCCTCTAAACGGGCTCCTTATTAGGGTGTAGGGTTTGGGGGTTTAGGGTTTAGGGTTTAGGGGTTTAGGGGTTAGGGGTTTAGGGGTTTAGTGGTTTAGGGTCTAGGGTTTAGGGGTTTAGGGGTTGAGGGCTTAGGGTTTAGGGTTTAGGGGCCCTAGGGGTTTAGGGGTTTCGGGTTTAGGGTTCCTCTAAGGGGTCTATAATGGTTCCTAAAGGCCTCCTTAGAAACTTAAAAGGAATCTATAAGGGATCTATAAGGTGGGCTTAGGATTGCTTCAGGGATCAGGGGACTCGGTGACTCGGGTTCCTATTTGGCTAACTCTACTTCTAATTCCTTACAACCCCCAATTAAGGTTTTATAACCTGATGTGCTAAGTCTCAACCCTAAACCCTACACCCTAAAAGATAAACCCTAAACCCTAAACCACTCGCATACAACTCATATAGAGCCTTCAGAATGGCAGCCCTATGTAGATCATGTGGCTTATCCGTTTCGGACCTCCTTGTAGGTTGTTTCCCGTTGGTGCCTCTAAAACCAGAAGGATTGCACATGGAGCCCAGAAGGAGGCAGGCCTGTTGAGGCGCATCGCTGCATGAAGTGCTAGGCTTCCGTGCCTGTGGCTGTACAACGAGACCCAAGTGTTGAACCCCTACCTGGAGGTTCATGGGCCTTAGTAAGTAACGCCCGAAACCCTAAACCCCTCCGACTTGCTTACAGCTACTTTCCAACTCCGTAGATCCTTGCAAGTCGCCGCAAACATAGGAAGCCCAAAACCTTGAACTACTAAAGCCCATCTTTGCTCTTTGTGGAGTGCCCGGCAGAGACTTCTCTGTGGGCCCTACCGTCAACGTTTAACCCTGAACCCCCACGGCAGCGCAAGCCCCAAATCCCCGAGCCCTAAACCCTAAACCCCTAAACCCCTAAACCCCTAAACCCCTAAACCCTAAACCCTAAACCCTAAACCCTAAACCCTAAACCCTAAACCCTAAACCGAGCCACCGACCTCCGCGGCAGGAGTCCTGGGTGTTATATGCGAAGCGTTTCGCAGGCTACCGACGAGCCCTCGTGCTTTAGGGGTGTGTGTGTGTGTGTGTGTGTGTGGGGGCTTCGGTTTTGTGTATTGAAGGTGCGGGGACATGAAGAGTCGAGGTTACAAACTTTCCGACAAGTTGTCACGCACCCAATAAGATGCAGGCAGCGTGATCTGTTAAACCTGGCACGTTACTTCAAGGATCATGGGATTTAGTGACTAGGATTATGGAGAGAATACAGGCTACCATTGGGGGTTGGCTTAAATAATATTATTGAGAAATTATTCCGTTTGGAATGCGATTGGAAATGAGAAAAAATGTGATCAGAAATGAGAAAAAATGAGGACTTTAAGCACTTCTGTGGCATTCCTATGGAAAAAAGCAAAATTAATGGAAAATGAAGAGCTTAGACTGCTTAGACCCCCGTCGCTTTTGTTTTTGGATTTTTTCGGATTCTTTTCGGATTTTTTTCGGAATATTTACCGAAATAATTGTGATCGAAAAAGCGAGAAAATGGGATAAACATGAGAAAAAATGAGATAAAAATGAGAGAAAACGAACCAAAAAACAACATAAAATGCAAGTTTTCGTACCTGTTTCGGAGTTAAATACAAAGAGACAGCAAAAACCGCAAGCAATCGTAAGTGCGAGAGAGAGAGAG